ATAATAAATATATATGTGAATTATAAACACAAACATGACGCATCAAAACTATAAACTTATATGTTTAATAATGTCTCCATCTATCCTGAGCTTCAAAGCTAAGTAGTGATCAGTGGTTAGGTCAACTCTTGGGACTACTCTCGGCCGTAAAAGTGAGACGCCCTGTCTAATACTCGTCAGGATAGGCAAAAAACCCCGAGATGAAATTCAAGCAAAGGCAAAGATACATTTTTAGATTCGAATGTCACAAAGCCAGTTTGCGGCCAGTGGATTTACTTTTCCCAGACTTCAAAAGAGATTAGCCCATAACACCATCACACACAGATGAACATTTCTGGCCTTCTGCAGTTACCCCCGGTCGCAAATTCGCTACATAATTTAACATTAGATAAATTCACTCCAAATACCTCCTGTTTTTAATAATTCAATATGTGAGCAGAATATCTAAATAAACTAAACCGTTATATTGCATCCACTCGTTTAATATATTCATTACACTTTATCTTCAATAATGCAGAATGCGTGTTTTCAATTCCTGCTCTGTTTTCATTCAATTCTACTCACCAATACTCCGGGTATTTCTTCAGGAAATTCGTACACCGAAGTCAAATCAACTCTGCTGATATTACATCAAAATTCAGTAACAGAATTTATATAAGAACCATCAAAATGACAGTCTGATTTAAATATTTTAAGCCTGGGAAATTTCGAGAATAATTCACGGAAAGTGTTCTGTTGTAGTAATTTACATATTAAATTTATCCTGGTCGTATATCTACAGTTGAAAATGGCAGAATTTCATATCGTATTTCAGTGTGATTATCTGTCCACTACGGGTGAACGTATGAAGTTTATTTTGATATAAAGCCAATTTTTATTACATGATTTGGATTCAGTGCCAGAGAGTTTCACTACGGTGAAGATCTTTGATTTCGTGTTCTGGGTCACGACGCCAGGCAGCCTGCACTTGTGGGTAGTTACCAACGTTTCGGATTTACGTATCGACTCCGTCTTCAGAAGTTTACCTACTAGACTACATCATGTAACCTCCATAAAGACCATAATCCACATTTTCCTCATCTTACCCCATATTCACTGCTAAGGATTAATTTTATTTATACTTGGAAAATTCTTCTCATTTACGTTAATTCAGGCACAAGTTTTAACTCGTTCCTTTCAACTGATTAAAATGCGGTCCCCGAATGAAATTATGTCAATGAAGCAAATTGGAACCACTATTTCTGACTCCTGAATTAATATTTATTTGTGGTTGTTTATTTTTAGGTAGAATTAGGCTACCCTTATTTTTGTGAACTTATAAATGCTTTCAAAGCATGTAGTAAATATTTGTGAATATTATTTTCCTCTGAAGAAAGGCGAATTTTTTGCTTTGTCAAATATCTCGTAATAATAAATAAAAGCAATGCTTGTCTCGAGGTTCAACTGATTTCTCTGTGGCGTGCTAAGGGGACGTGCATCGTCTATGCTAGACGTTAAAATATTAGCCCAGAGGAAGATGAAAACTAAGAAAATCTTATGAATGATGGAGGGGCCAGTCTAAAACACGAAGACGGGATAGATCGAGCGGCGTTAAGTCGTTATATTACTGATGACGATAAATGAGATGCAAGATCAAAAGTAGCCCCAAAACCTGTCCTTGACCACTTCTAATTGGAAAATTAAAAAAAAAAAATAGGGTTTGTGACTCAGTAAGTACGTTCATATCTACGAAGTCTTATAATACATTACATCCGAGTGCAACCCTTTAAGCTTGACATGCGAGTGAAGCCATCTAGTCATATTTCATTGTATCTCTGCGGGGTGGGGGGTGGGGGCTCGTATGAAATGTGGAATGGGGTGTGGTGAGCTTTGCATCCAGTTGCTATTTGCCTGAATGGATCTTATACAATTCAACAAGCAGTGTTCAGAACACTGAAATCCTTCGTCGTGTTAAAGCCCACAGAATATATTACGATTCTGTTAAAACCAAGATTCGGTGAAAATTTATCTGTCCCGAAATCCTAAGACACGAACGCTTAAAATGGATTTAATCCTTGTACTGCCACTACAGCCACGGATAAAGAAACTTGTCCTTATAATCTGAATACTCTTGCAGGGGACGGCACATCACACAGAGTCGCGGACATGCATCAATACCTCGAGTGGTATTTGAAAAAAGAATATCGATGTTCGAGAGAGAGGGCTGGATAGCGTTTTTTTTTGCGATATTCGATAATGACAGACAAGCCTAATGCAGAAGAAAACAAGTCTGACACAATGACATATCAAAATGTATTACACTAACGACAAATCAATTAACTAGGCTGCCAAATGTTCATTTGTCTTTGTCTCTTGGCCAACATTAAGTGTCATGAAACGTAGCTAATCTAGATTGAGAGATATTTCCGATTAGACTAATGTCATAATCAAACAGACCTTGCTTTATTATCCTCATTCCTTCGATGTTCACTCCTATTAAACTGCTTTTATATTTCGTAAGATTTCACACACATACAAACCCATACACACGTACATTAATAAATAATTTTAGTTGGATGTCATACATTATCTGTTATTTAATACACACAATTATAACATTTAACTACGTTTCGTAGACTAACTTTATTACCCAGCTTGTGTAAAATACGAAAGACAGATGTATTACAGGATCGGTTAGTCAATGTGAAGTACTCTTAGGTTTTAGAAAGAAATAAACTTTGCTCGTAAATACGAGAACATACACACGTATCTCAGAAATCACCGTCACATTGATGACACTACTGTCGATAAAAAATTAGGAGGCATTAAAATAGGGCAGGGTCCAATCACACCACATGACACGTACTATAACAGCATTGGCAGTGTTAATGTTAAAATAAACAAAATTATAAGCGTTTAGGAATTATAACAATTAGTAAGAGTACAGATAATTAATTTTCATAATTTAAGCTTCTAACTTTATCAAGAAAATAATTCATATTTGCAACTGTTGTTATTATATTAATTCTGAAATATAAACTTTGCTTTTTACGTGTTAAGACAGCCAACATTTTGCAAGCGAGTATTGATTCCTCGCGGACTCACACATAAATAACAAATCGATATATACACATCAAAGATTAAGTACATACTATTTTGTTAAAAAATTGTCTATGGCTTTCGTTCCAGGTTTTACAGATGTTATTATATTTGATACCGTATAACCAACGCAGTTGAGCACGCGTCAATAAAGAAGCTAAGAATTACGTGAGCTACTGAGAACACGCATCGTCACAAGAGGAATTCACAGAATTGGAAGGAAGGAGCTGGATCCTGACGTTTATCCTACAGGAACTTGCAAACTCAAGTCAAGTCAGTGATAAATTTCCTAATTTATTCCAGCAGAGGTTCGAGGTGAACAGCATATTCGATACGTGTGAATCAGACCAAGTGGGAAACTATCAGTTTCTCACAAAGGACCAAACACTGTGCAGATATGTCCGTATCACCGAGAATGGTTACGCGGCTAGAGACGGAACAATTCATTCAACAGAACGCGTTGCTATGCAACCTCACTGAACTGCAGCCAGCGACCTCACGGGCTGACTAACCACTGGCATTTGTTGTAATGCAGTTAAAATAGAACTATTAGCTGCCCAAATAATTATATTTGTTTTGTTCAACATTACTGTATGAGATACCTGTAAATGTATATGTAAACAATAGTGGTATTAAACTATGCGGTGGGCTGAAACGGAATCAGACGACAGAATAGCTTTTTGAACTTTGTGTACAAATCAGGATGCTAATCAAAGTTTGAAACCCGAGTGAGATATTGATGCGGATTTCAAAGTCGGATTTAGACAGCATGAAAGTGCTGAACGTATGGAACAGTGCTGTTCACAAGTGAAGCTATCATTAGGCAGCTTTTATAAGTCTACTTGTGAATCAGACACAGAGAAACAGCGGATAAACGAAAGGATAAAAGACAGTAAGGGATGAATATAAAAATTGTTCCCTTTCCGTTAGTATGATTAAATATATAACTAATTCCTTGAAACAACGGGACCACTGAGGCTGGGTGGTCATCCCTTGAAAGAAGTCTAATGCTGTTAAGTGAACAATCATTCTGTCACATTTGCACTTATATACTAAGAGAAAAACGGTCATATTTAATTATATTAATTACGAATCACTAAATGTTACGGTAATGTGGTTTAAAAACAGGACAAAGTGACTTTTCAGTCTTTTGCTAAGAAGGAAAGATGGCATAATGTTAGACATTCCATTAAACGAAATGCTTGCAAAAATTTTCTCCGTAAAAGTATATGAAATTAAAATGATCCGATTTGAAAGTCGTGTGGGGCTTCTCTTATGGAAAAATAGTGCGCCTAAATTGCCCAAAAAGTAATCTTTCGCTTAATTTCGGTCCTTAAATTAAGAAAGAAGTATACTGAAGAAGCCAATACACTGTCTGAAAATGTATAATGGTGTGAGCCCTCCAACACGCGAACAAGTTTGCGGGTTTTTCGAAGTATGATATAAAGGTTACATCATCATAGGCCACAAGAACAGGAATTTTAATTTTCTATAATCTGTAATCTGATCCCTTTGTTAAACGTTGTACACAAGATCTGAGCCTATTACAATCTTCTCGTCCAGTTAATAGTGCGCCTACACCGTCAGGGTTTGGTGCAATGAATTACACGATTATCCGGTCACATTTCCTTGTGTTATTAAGCGCATTATAGGAACATTCTGGTGAACGCGCTAGAATCCTTATGTTACGCGTGAATTTTGTAACTTGTGAGATCTGAGGTTCTCACGGCGTCGAATATGAAGACCTCTGACGCCTGGGTTGCTGCGCAGTGTAGTTTAAACTACACGGCGCAACTACACAGTATAATTTCCTGATGTCTTTTTCTGCTGTTATGTTCCTGATGGAATCCAACTTTCTAGATTGATTCAGACATAGTACATGAAAGGGTTAAAGTTAAACGCTTTGATCAGTCGTCCCTTACCTTTAATGAAGTCCACAGCCATCTCAAGTCCATACGTGTCCTTATCGCAGTCGTCCAAGATGTGGGCCCCGATGGTCACGTTGGGTATCATCTGGGGATCCCTGTTAAGTACGTCCAGAGTATAGAGCATCGTCTCCAAAGCTTGGATGCCTCCTTGTGGCATGATGGGGCCACATGTATAGCTCTCTTCACGCTCATGGACCATCATGAGGCCGCCCAAAATGAGATCGCCTTCCACTACAGCCTCCCTCTTCACCGGCCATGGTATGTCTTCAGATTCACTTGACAGGACCGGTTCTACAAGCGACCGAAAAGGCCTGCCTTCTACGAGTTCGAAATGACGAGAATGTCGATGCTGGCTTGAGTTTCTGTCTCGGTGGTTCCTACTCCTCTGGTCTTTGAGTAACCTGACGTCTTTGCGTGGGTCCACTACATTGAGCGTTTTCAGATTAATACTTTTATTGAGCTTGTGATGTGTATATGCGCTTGTATTCCTATGAACACTTTGGATATGACCATTGTTTTGATATGACGTATGAGAGAGGTCTTTCGATATATCATCCTGAAGAAAATGTGTCCTATTTCGGCTACTGTATTCAGGGCTGACAGAAGAAGTATCTCTCCTGTCTGACACAGGCATCCCGATTGCCAGGCTATTAATTGAAATACCTTTTGTTATTTCAGGAAAAAACTGTTTACGTTTCTGTTTTGCAGATGTGCGTTGGTGCTGATGTTCAATGTGATTCGGAGTTTCATCACTGCACTTTTCATGACACAGAATTTTATTTTTAAGAGAATATTGTAATGACAAAGCATGATTAATGTCACTATGTCTCTGAGCTGCTACATCGGAAGGTACAATCGATTCAGACGAATAATCGACGTGTCGAGACGATTCTATTGTATTCAGTTCACTTTGTTCTTCTCTCACGTCGAAAAAATGTCTCGACTTAGCATCCAGTTCTCCGTCATGACCATGAAAAACTTTACGAAATTTACCGGAAACGTCAGAGTTCTCAAAATCGACCTGAGAATTTCTATCAATATTTTGGGAACTGGGAATGTTTTGAACACCGGGCGGATAAGTTCGTTTGGAACTGCTGATACTTGGTCCAGTGTTCATCTCGTTTTTATATTCGTTATGCACTCGACGGTTAAAATGATGAAAGTGATTATGATAATGATGATGATGATGATGATAATGATAAAAGTTGTAGTTCCTTGAAGCTTCATGCCGTTTAGAAGTCACGTCTCCAGCACGAAAGAGCATTGTGACAACGAAGCAAACCATAAAAATCCTGATCCAGTAACTGCGTTGAAGAGTGACACAAGTCATTCTACGACTTGTTGTCAGCAGCTTTGAGCGCTCTCTAATGTTGACACACATTCCACAATAAAAATAAACTTGCACAATTAAAATGCATTTATTTTTAAATTCGTGTTACCAGGTTCAATAATACGTGATGATCTTTACTTGCAGTCTGATTACAATTTGCATTTAATGTTTCCAAATTATATTTTATTCGCTTCTTTTAAACGTAAATATAAAATGATTTTCGGTTGAATTTTATTTCTTTTTATTCTTGCAGCAAAATGCAAGGTTTACTACTAATCTCTCTGTCAAATAAACCTTCATTTTTCTCTTTTCATCGTGGCGGTAGGAAGATTCCACCAATATCAAAGATGACATACAACATTTGAAAGGACCATAGATCACATTCAGAGCTGGAAAAATATTCTTTTCGCCTTATGCAGGTACTTGAGGTGACGCAGTCACAAAGTAATACAGTCAAATGATGCAATATCCTTTTCGAGAGCAGTACACAGGGAGGTCAAAAAGGGAGAAACAAAGGTTGGCTTATGGAGTGAAATCTAATGGATCAGAGGAAAGGATAAAACTAAAATTCCCTCTTATAACGCATATATTACCCTTCTCTCTGTTTTTTTCTGAATGTCCAGATTTACATACAAATTTATTGCAACACAGGGGTACAAATACTTAACGCCCTATTATTTTATCAACAGATTAATAATTTTCACTTCCCTCTGCCAGTTCCCTTTTATAGACAGTTTTCCGTTTCAAAATTCCTTCGAACTCTTTCCAAAAACCCTGCATTATTTCAGTTTCACGTCACTTCAGAAATGGTGTTTTATTTTTGCAAGATCTTACGTAAGAATGCTGATGTTTGAAAGTAAACTCTCCTTTTTTTAAAACGCGACACTTAATTTAGAATTGTGATAACGTGATATTTACATAAGTAACAAAACATAAACAAAGCTTTGAGGTAAGAATTATACATATTCACTTCAAGTAACAAATGTTCATAGTAATATAAAACTGGCATATTCAATAGTTCTCTCTCACTTTTTTGCGAGTTTTAAGTCTTACTAAGACATGATTTCGTTCAAAATAAACTACTGAAATCTACTGGACACGTCAACGACAGAATATTAAAAAAATAAATCATTCGTTCTCCTATATTTATTTGAAATATTTCAAATGTATAAAAAATATTTCAGTCACTGAAAAACATGTCTGCGGGAATGTTTAGAAGTTCACTCTGGCATTACTAGACAGGATGCTGTTATAAATTTCTACATTCTTTTCATTTAACAGCTTGAACTAACATTTATCATCTAATAGTGAAAGTAGCAATACAGATTTTTCCTTTGTATATTAAGAACTAAAATAACAAGTATGGAAGATAAGAAATATCGATTATTTTTAGTAAGTTTTGTTTGTTTAATTCAGAGAGCACCGTTATCAGCTTAGTTTTAATGTTTCTCATACAAAAGTTACTAAGTAATTAGCAATAACAGAACACATAATTTAACTTCTTTTATATTAATATTTATATTCCTTTTTTAAATGGACAGTTACATAAGTACATCGTAAACACGATAAATCACTGAATACTTTAGGAACCACTGATTTTTAATTTTTCATGCAGAACATCGATATTAAACACGTTTAAATTTTATTCACAATTTAAACATTTTTTATAGAAGTCATTAACATTAACTGATTATTATGTACCAATAACATGTGCCTGTTAATAATCCTCAGAATTCAATTGTAACAAAATGATTTTCTATATTGTAACGTGGTCTACGTACGAGAATTTGCCACTAAATGCTTGAAAAGGATGAACTAACTAATAAATTCTAAATGCTTTGTCGAAGGATGTTTGATGTTATAACGTATTCCGATGTACGGTAACTGATAAATGTTGAGTCGAATGTACTTTGTGTACCAAGCTTCGTATCAGATTAAAGCAATTAGAGGCTGAGAAGCGAGCAGAAATGCGAGTAGTAAATGGTTGTTAAGTTACTGGGAAGAGGTAATTTATATTAAGGAGTGAAGGAATGACTTCAGCAGTGTCTGATCGGCGGCTGTATATGTAATGCAACCAGTTATAAAGAAGGTCTTTTGAATCACTGATAAATAAAATGCCCAACGTCTGGTTTCATAAAGAAAACTGGTTAATGTTGTGATCTCTCCTTTCAGCATTCCTTTTCAATGTTTTTTTCGCTAAATAAATTTCGCGTGCTTTGTACTCGCAAGGAAATATACATCCACATTTATGTCACCGCAGTTATTTAACACAGAAGAACAGTCTGTTTATGAACAGGAAACATACACTCCAGCTTCTTGTGGCTATTCGCCACGTAATTCACATCTTCTCCACAAGGGAATTTAAGAAATAGATAGACGGATTCGTGTCCTCCTAAGACTTCAAGATGATTTTTACCAAGTTGTGTCTGAATTACACAAATAAAAATCTTTGTCGACGTTTCCTATAAACATGTATTTTCTCTTCCTTACATCGCAGAATTCCTCTTATTCACTCTTATATATGGGAAAATTGAACTTCATTTCTCAGACATGTTTCACTTTTGGAAGTTATAGTTCTTAACCAACTGCCATGCTTTTTTTCCCCCAAGTTTCAGTCCTCAGAGTGGGAAAATTGAACTGCATTTCTCAGACATGTTTCACTTTTAGAAGTTCTGATTCTTAACCAACTGCCATGCTTTTTTCCCCCAAGTTTCAGTCCTCAGAGTTCAGAATTGTTTTACTCCATAACAAAATACACGGAGAGTTCATAACACTGTATCGAAAGCAATATTTCAGCTTCCATGTCTTTTAAATAATACGTATGTTTTATTCACTAGTATTTACACATATTCTTAAAATTTGTGCCACATCAAAGCCCAGTTAGAATGTTGGATAAAATTTGAAGACAGATATTTTGCAAGTCTGTTTGTTGGTTACGTTTCTGGTTTCTGTTACACTTTATTATTACGAAATGTGGGCCACGTTTGTAATCACGCACTACATTTAGGAAGAAAACTTTGGTCTCTCTAATTGGACGACAAATATTTTATAAAATTTAGGCCTTTAACACCAGGCCAAGTATATTAATAAATACGCAAGACTGTAATTTATTTTATATGAAAAGACGAAGTTCAGATTCTGCTTAAAAAAAAATCTGCGCAATGTTTATATCTCCTTAAAGCAGCACATTACATTAAATTATTGAAGCACGATATACATCTTGTTGTTCATTCATGTTTATGTAAACATTAATTATAACAAATGTGTCATATGAGCCGTATTCTTCTATTGAATGTGCGTGTTACACAAAACATGCATCACATGACATACAAAATGCACACTGAGTGTCATTTGAATATAAGAAGCAACATTTCTTCTCTCAAAACTAAATTTTCATTCAGTACACTTTATGATGAGAATAATGACTTCATTGTGGAGAGACGTAGTGCAAGTTATTTTCTGATAGTTTAAATACTTTTGCTTTCAAACGTTTATTCTAATCTGAAAAAATGTGGATAGAGTTGAAGCCGCTGGATTTTATGAATAACACAAACACTGGGTCACAAATCTGTACGTTCGTTCACTACTTAATTTTCAGTTTGAACGAAATAAAATATAAACACAATTTTTAATTGATAAAAGATGTCTTCATCAGTTTAAATAAATGTTATAACGTGGACTATTTTTTTTTACTTTCCTTCTCTTCTCAGATGATATTTTAGTTGGTTGTATCTCCTGAAATATAGAATTTAAGACTTGCATTTTGCTGTTACGTAAAAATTATTTTTTTATCTAGAACAAAACACACTCGTTTCCCCATAAATGACGGAAATCAAATATTGGTCGTAATTTACCTACACATGATTAAATAGACAAAACATATTACTTTTCAAAGTAATATTAATTTTATCGGACGTTTAGTGGATGCTGGCCAAACAAGTGACATAGATCGACCAAAATTATCGAAGTTTTAAAAGATTAATTTGTATATTTAATTTATTAATATCAGTAATTTGATCGAGCAATTGCATAAGAACATTTACATCTTAAGTACAGCAAAGGTACAAAGTCAACTATAGATAATTTTATATTGAAAACTTTATATTGAAATATTTACACTCCATTGTATGAGGAAAGCCAAGATTTTAAATTAACAACGTACATAAATGCCATCTTTTCGGAACATTCTTACATACGTTTCATAAATGAAAGAATTAAAATTTTTGTTAAAAAATAATCTTAAAAATATAATATATATGTTTATATGATAATATATTACATAATAACATTACAAATTTATTTATTGTGTTCAATACACATTTTCAAAAGAAACAAAGAAATAACGAATCACAATAATTTTTTAAGGAATTCATCTCTGTTCAAAATCACTAGTTTCTCGCGCATTACACACTTAATTCTTGTTTCAAAACTCATAAATTGAATTCTTTAACAATATTTGATCCTTATTAACAGGAAAGTACCATACTTATTCTTATTAATAAACTCATATTTCACTTAAGTCACTTAATTACTCTTAAATGCCTGTATTTATGAATTTCGCAATGAGATTTCACAGAAAATACGTCACAGTTATTTCTAACAGAAATGTGCAACGCCTTTTTGTTTATAAAATAGAGGCAAAAATTTGTCTGCAACAGCAATGTTTTCGTTTGAACATCTGTAACAAGCCAGAATTGAAAATAAGATTTTCAAAAACATTGTAGTAATGAATTTAACAGTTCGTAACAGCAAAATTTTGTTGCCGTGAATTTATTTGGTGGTGGGGGGGGAAAACGAGTGATTGGAAACTTACTTCGTGCTCTGAACGCGTATTACGTGCTGTCCGCGTGCGAGGCAACGTGCTTCCGACGGATAAGACGGCAGCGTTCACACTGAATAGACAGACTGCGGGACGCTCACTACCACTCGCGGCTCCGCCCGAACCACGGCGTCGGAGGGGTGCAAAGGTGAAGAGACGCCTGTAGTCGGTCGGGTACGTTCGATTCAGACAAGCTCCGCGCAGTCAACACTTCAAAAAAAAAAAAAGCGTTCGATCTCTCTGAATGATCGGCTAATCTGTCATCGCCATCACATCTATGATACACAGGTCTACTGTCGCGTTAAAGAAAAACCAAATAATTTATAAAATCTTGATATAGTCTGCTTAAAATTTATGTTACAATCAGCAAACTACGGTCTGTTAATTGTGGAACACACTAAGGGCTGTTCCATATTATTGCACGACTGTTAATCTCGACTGCTGTGTTCCGCAAGAAGATAATCTTAACTGAAGGAAGTTGGTATCAGAACTGTAAATTAGCAGGAAATGTCATGACTGGGAATTATTTCCAATCTCTTCCGTGGTAAATATCTAAAGTTTGACAAATTTTTTTTAATTTTTCCCACACGTCCAGAGATCCCCTGGATAAAAATCCGTTTAATTTGTACTCGTATATTCTAATCGTACGACAGGCGAAAATGATTTAGGTTAGGTTGACCACGTGAGAAACCTAAGCGTGCATGAGTGTATAACATCAGAATCTGTCAAATCGATTCTCCGTTTGAAGCTATTCAGGTAATTGTTACCTTGGGAATCCTATCAGCCTTTCGCACGACCTCCATCTTGGAGAACCACGATTTCATACTGAGATCACAATCTCACAAATAGATTGCCTTGCGCCCTGAATTATATTCATTAAAATTGTCAGAATCCTCGTCGACTGAGAAATCGGAGAATCTGTAACAGGCGACAGCTTTACTGACGAAAATTATGATTACGAACTTAACGAAATATTGTTTGTTTGTTTTTGAAAGATGTTCATCCAGCTCAGAACAGAAACAGGCAGGGTTTAAGCGAACACGGTAATTAATATTTGATTTCTATAAAAGCAGGGAATTTCTTGATCAGCTGATTAAATATAAAACATTTCAAGTACGGTCAATCACGACTCATTCATCAGCATCTAATAAAATTATTTTACACGGTCTGAATTTTATATCGCATGGTAATGACTTTCATTCTGTACAGTAGGTAGCTTCATTTTATAAGTTGCTTTTTTTTTTGCCGGAGACATGCCCCTAAACGTCTGTACCCCACAGAACCCCACCCTGCCCTGGAGTGCAGGAGCTTTCATTTCCGTGAACAAAACAAAGAGAAATCGGACCACCGCGCATGCGTCTACCGCTCACAAACACAACATACAGTACATTAAAACAGTAAAACATAAACGCATAGTTAGATCTGAAATTATAGCCTTGGTAAAATAATTCTTTAGTTATTTATGGTGTCTTTTAAATGATTTGTGATTAGCGCAGAGTATGCATTAATCTGGAAAATAAAAGTTCTGGTTCATTTCAAGGCATCCACTTGGTGGGGCGGAGGAAAATAACGAAAATATTAATTTCAGATAACCAATCACCACCAGAATTAACATGAAAACATTGCTAACGCCAAACTACTGCTATTCGTTGTGTTTATTTACTGATGATTCGGGAATAATTAATTTGAAATTATTTTCCTCGACATTGCACGAAACGAGGCAACCAAACGAAGTTCACTAAACAGAGAGCCCTTCTTAAGAAACTATTTGAAGCAATTAAACGCGATAAAGCCTATTCGAGCCATTAGCCACGTTACAATTGTCCAAATTTCTAAGGCTGAAAATTTATCGCATTAATTTGAAGGTATTTAGCCCAAAGAAATACTCTTTAGATTAAGCTGCAGTACGGATTCAGTAACCGATATAACTGATTGTATTCCTGAAGATAACTTTTCTCCCGTGCTTCTGGACCAAATGAATTTATCTGATAACGAAGCCGAGGTTCCACTTCACTCATCGCGTTCCATTTCGTGTCACATTTCTTATGAAGCTCATAATGTCAGACTGCACTTAATTAAACCTTCCTGTGGAGTATCTTCTCTGCGTAATCGAGAAAAAAAATAAAGAACTGGTAACACAGACCACTACTCGCAAGACAGTGCATTACTTAGGCACCTGGATGGAAATAAGATTCCACTGACTGATATAACAGACAACGAAAATGATGGTAAAACTTAAAAGGTTAAAAGAGGCAAAGGACAATATCGAAACAGAAAGTAGAAAATACAAGACAGAGGGCCAAATGTAAGAAACAAAGAGAGGATTAGAAAGACAGAGACAGAAAGATATATCGTATTAATTTAATTTTGCAATTCACTGAGGAAACTTCACTCTGCATTTTAGTCTATAAAACAAGAGAATTGCAGCTCAAGAGGATTTTTCTGCTCCAGTGTGAACGGGTGTCTAATCTGCAATATCGTAATGGCTTTACATGAGGGAATACGCACAGTACTTTTAAGAGTAGAGTATTTCATTGTACGGGAGATCGTTCACATTTTTAAAGCTTAAGTTGTCTTCAATTTGTATTTAAATACATAAACGGTTTTTATGAGTTATAATTTAGTAACGGCAGAATCAATACGCATAGCTCATGTTTACTGTCGGTTCGTTATTAGACCAATTATTATAACCTCTAAGCAGTATCAGAAAAGGTCACTAAACCACCAAGTTTTACACCCAACTCAACTTAAAAAGTTAGTATGGTAATTAATAGCACATACAATATTTATATCCGGTCTCCATAAAACATTTCTCCGAGAGAACAAAAACAATTATAAGTTTCAATAAGTCATATGGTCAAAATCGAAACTTTAGATTAAGCTACCAACTAAGTAACTAATTACACTGTGCAAAGTAATCCTTGAGAGCTTTGTAGTTACTTCGTTACTCAAGAAATAACCATGATATATAAAACTGCCATTATTCTCTATCCATTAAAGTTTCCTTGTTCAAAGTTGAGCGCCTACACTTTATGATTGATATGAAGTTTTATAAATTGCGTTTTTCACAAAATATTAAATTGGTGATCAAATCGGCAACAATAACGTGGGGGAGACAAGTATCAGCCTAAAGAAAATTAAGAAATGTTACAAAATTTGAAAAGGAAATGTGAAGATAAGAGACACTTTGTAATGCACTAGCGAATGGGAGAATAGCACGAAGTGGCTTTTTTGTGGATTGTATTCACGTGGCTCAAGGACGTATCCACTGTTGGATACCTTCGAACATGGTAATAAATCTCCAGATTCCACAAAAAGACCAAAAATTCCTCGACTACCTGAGTGTCTCAAGAATGATTGTGCTTCACGAGGCTAATGAAATACGGCATCCTAATGACTTAAGAATGAGACTCTGTACTTTGAACAATATCCCTAATCCGTCTACAGAAAATGCCAATCACATCCGCGAATCCCTGCCTTTTATTTCAGAATGCCAGCCGTCACACCACAAGCCACTCTGCCCCTTATACCAAAGCCAATACTTTTTTAATTAACTTCAATGCGAACAGGAAACAGAGCCTAAAACCTTGGGCATCAAACCCCATAAAACCCTTTAAAGTTGCTTAATTACAAATCTGACACAGTGGTGTTAAACAGAATTCAATTGTTTTACGGTAGTACGGAATGAACTGAAAGTATTTGTTTTTCTCACCTTTGACTTCCTTTTGCCTGTAATGTACTAAGTATCTCCAAATAGACAACTGTGGCTTAAAGGGACGACATTGTGTGGGCTGTAATCATTGTCAAATTGAATTATAAATTTAAGCATTTCCTAGTTACATGGAACTTGGAATTACGTCATCATAGTACAAAATTCGCATATTTCAGTGTCAAGTTTAAAATAAATTTTTTTTAGAAGCTAATTATTCACATTCAATGTTCAGTTCTTCCCGACTTGATTCAACTGTGTCCCTATAAAGACCAGCGGCCAATCGTAACACGAAAATAAATACTGACCGTTTCTTAGAAAGAGGACAATTTCTTTACAAATCTGGGCGACTATCAAATTGTAAACATGGATTCTGGCAGATGGACTTATAGTATGAGTAGTTGTTCTAGTCCTTACGTTATTTTTTAAAAAATTTCAAATGGTACCTGACAATACATACAGAATATCACAGCTTGCAATGGCACTGCTCATCAAATTAATTATTTAACTTGTGTTGGGCAAGGCCGTGGTCTAGGCAACACGCAGAGTTTTCCTCCGGGGGCTTCCCCGGTTTCTCCGTGGCATCCCAACAATTACTCCATTCACAC